TGGGATTTTTTTACAATTTACTGTTTAAAATTGTCTAGAGCCTACAAATTTTATCGGATTTTAATTTTCTTAGTCTTAAATTAAAAAGGATAAAATTCTTAAGACATCTCTAGAAGCTGATTCTGATCTCGTGCAATGGAAAAAAAGTAAACATGATTTTATCTAAAAATATTCTAATTTTTTAACTTGGATGAACAAAAAAATATGAACAATGAAAATTTCAAAGTCAGCTTCTAGGGATGTCTTAAGAATTTTATTCCTTTTAATTTAAGACTAAGAACATCAAAATCCGATAAAATTTGTTTAGACAATGAGTATTTAATTATTTTTTCAAGTATTTTACATTAATTTAAGACTATGTCCAAGTTGTGAAATGTAAACAAACCAAAAGGTAAACAAACCAAACACAAGAATCGCACTTTTGTAACAGCCATTTCTCCTACAAAAATTAACATTTTTACAGTTTATTTACAAAAATGGAAAATTAGAGTGTCAAAGTTTTCAATGAAATCATTTTTGACTATGAGCTATGCTAATATGACTATGTTAATTTTTCTGACAGTTGACAGCTGTAAAGAAAACTGTCAAACATAGAAAGTGTTAATTTTTAAAAAATGTTACCTTTATTTTCTGAAATAGAAATATTTTTTACATTACTAAGATCAAACCGTATAACAGAATGTTATTTTGACAGATAACAGCTATCAAAAATACTGACAAACTTTTGAAAAAGAAAGTTTTTCAAGTATTTTACATTAATTTAAAGCTCAAAGTACATCATTTATAATGTGATCTCAATATATTTTTATCTTTAATGCTCAGTATATTACTGTTTATATTATCTTTTTTTCTAATGTATTATTGTACAAAAAGTTTTTTTACATATTTATAATAAAATAGCTAAGAAAAAAATCTTAGAAATTTGGTTTTTAAGAACCTTTTAAAGTGTAGTTGTACCTTAACCCTTTAAGGACCAAATGTACAAAAATTTTATCTGAACTTTGGGAGAAATTTTTAGTATGAAAACGGATTGCTATAAATTTTGCAATAGACATTTCTTAATGCTCAGGAACCGCTCTTTCGAATGCTGCAATAAAAAATATTGAAAATTTATAAATAAACAAATTACATACAGTTATTTAAAAAAAACACAATTTTTTTAAGATTTTTTTTTTAAATCAAATTTTTTTTATTATTTATGGCGAAGGAATACGTCTCAAAGGTTAAAATATCGCGTCAAAAATGTCTAACCTAAAATGTTGTGAAATAAAAATTAAAAAAAACAAAATGGCGGATCAGAAATGGCGTTCAAAGTTGACTTTTTAATAAATAATATACAGCAAGTGCACATTTTTTTAAAAACCTCACAGATTTGCTTGAAACTGGTTACTCAGGCGGTTTTTGGGGTCGCTGATTACGAATATGATAATAGTTTTTAAAAATTCAAAATGGCGAATCCCATATGGCGGACACTTTTTTAAAACTTCATCGGATTTGCTTAAAACTGGTTACTCGGAGGTTCTTGGGGTCTCTAATTACGAATATGATAGTAGTTTTCAAAAATACAAAATGGCGAATTCAATATGGCGGATACTTTTTCTAAAACTTCATCGGATTCACTTGAAACTGATTAGGAGGGGTTCTTGGGGTCTCTAATTACGAATATGGTAGTAGTTTTTAAAAAATAAAAATTTCGGAGCATATACATTATTCAGGTTAGAAATTATAAAAATTTAAACGAATTCAATATGGCGGATACTTTTTTTAAAACTTCATCGGATTTAAACAATCGATGTAAATAACTGGAATACACTTTTTTTAAAATAGAATTGTATAAACAATTGTTTAAAAAAACTAACACTTTATCTTTATTTTCATAAATGATATTCATTTGTTACTTAATTTTTATTAATAATTATTTATAAAACGTCAATTTATCCAAAATACTTCATATTGGACTTGTTGGATGCGGATTTTGTAATGTTTAACAGTAGTAACTTCAGAATTACGTTAACTTTATTTTGTTGTAAAATATTTCAATTTTTATTAATTAATTAATTAATTAATAATTCGAAAAAAGGGTCATTTTTTTCGTTTCAGATATTGAAAGTACACATCTTAAGCTTTCTTTTGGTACAAAAAAAAAGAAAAAAGGGTCCTTCTTAAAAAAAATCAAAAAAAATTTTATACCAAAAACATATAGGTAAAATTTTTTTTTACTTTATTGTTTAGAAGCTACGATTTTTTTGAAAAATTAATGTTCACACTTATCCAAAATCTTCAACCCCCTTCGCCTCTCTACAATTTTATATAAAATCTTATATTACTTGGTTGTTAATTAGTCATACATATTACTAAATACTGTGAAAATATTAGTCCAATCCAACAACTTGCAATTTTGACTTTGGTACACTCGAGAAAATTTGCCCCTTAAACATAATAAATCTTCAATTATGAGGCTTCAAAGACAGAAAAAAGTCGATAATAACAAAGAACAGTTCCTATTAGTATTATTATTATAACAAAGAAATAGTTATGATTAGTATTATTATTATTAAGTTTAATATTACTATTATATTTTACACAAATGTAAAAATTAAAATTGTCTAGAGCCTACAAATTTTATTTTATTTTGATGTTCTTGGTCTTAAACTGAAGGGGATAAAATTCCTAGGAAATCCCTCGAAAGCGATTTTTGAATTTCTGTTTGTTTGTATTTTTTTAATAAAAGTTAATTAACAATATTTTTGAAAAAAATCATACAAACTATGATAATTAACAAATAGAGAACTTTTATTCTTTTTATAAAAAATTGATTTTTGCCGAAAAATTTATGTTTATTTATGTAATTTATGTTCATTTTGGACTGAATCCATTTCAAATCAGACAAGTCGACTAACTTCAAGTAATAGATTTACATTTTTTAAACTTTAAATGTTTATATAATATGTACGTTCTTTAAAAAACTTTAAAAATGTATGAGCATGAACAATTACATTTATTAGAAACAAATTTTTTACTTTTTAAACAAATAAATGACTTACGTCTGCACGTGTAAATACACAAGTAAAAGTGCAATAGAAAACTAAATAAATAAACATGATTTTTTCCAATAATACTGTTAATTGTTAACATGGAGTAACAAAAAATTTAAACAATTAGTAAATCAAAAATCGGTTTTGAGGGATTTCTTAGAAATTTTGTCTCCTTTAGATTAAGACTAAAAACATCAAAATCTAATAAAATTTGAAGGCTCTAGACAATTTTAAACAGTAAACTGTAAAAAATCCCACTGTGCGCGGCCCATGTTTTTTTTTGCTTAGGGACTTTTGGGAAATCTGCCTACACATACCTCGGATTCCGCACTTTTTTTCCTTTATATATATTTCCAATATTACCACCCACCACCACCCACTTAGTATAAACCAGAAATTTCAAAAATCGTATAGAGAAGCGCGAGGGATTAAGCGTTCGCGAGATACCGCGCAGGCGTTGTGGGTAGTGGGAGTGGGTGGTGTGGTAAGGCCCAAGGCGCAGCAAAAGTGCGCTTACGGTTACCGCGTTGAGTGAGTGAAAGTTTCATGCGTCAGACCTGTCTACCTGACTCTTGCAGCATACTTCACTGGTACTACAGCACCATGGGGATAAATGTATTGTTCAAAAATATGTAAGCAAGTTTCAACTTGTCTTTTTCCAAGATAAGAATAGTATTTTTTGAATATCTTAAAGCATGTTTTAACCTGCATCTTGAATAGAATAAAGACATTGTCTAAGAAACCTTCAGACAGGTTTTAACATGCCTGCGAGTTTGAACACGTCTCCTAAATGACTCTTCTTTTGAGGTGGTTGCGTGCGCAGTCGTTAAAGTGGGGGTAAAATAGTGGGGGTTTAAGGGATATAAGGTAGGTTGGAATCAACGATTCGACACTTCTATTAAAATTTCCAGCAGCAGCAGTATCAGCAGTATCAACAGCAACATTAGCAGTACTAGCAGCTTTAACAACTACAGCATCATCTACTAATTTGGTAGGTAAATTTCACTTTCTTGATTGAAACATTTTGTATTCCAAATTAGTTTTTTAAATTTAATATTAAAAATCAATCTTTTTTCTTTTCTTACAGATATTAAAACAATGGACTTCCAAAAAGTCAACGCCACTGGTCGCATGGAGAGATTTCTGCCAGCAAAGCCGCTTTCTGAGTTGACTGTGAATAAGTTATACAACGTAACTAAAATAAACAAGGTGCAGACCAAATATGGTTCTAGGATTGTAGTAGACCTGGATGCTACATTTACCACTTTTCTGCCGGCAAGGTTCGCAAAACTATTTAAAGCTGACCCTACCTCCTTCATAATGATGGAAGAAGCCGTGCAATCGGAGAAGTTGCGTTTAAAATATATTGGTGGCAAATTTAATGTTATTGAATTTGAATAAAAATAAATATTATAAGATTATACCGTACAATTTATGTAAATATTTAAAGGCTTATAATAATAATAAAAAAAATTACTTTTAAATTGCTTCTTTTATTATTCTACCTTCATATTTTAAACAATTTTTAAATTAATAGAATTTTGTATAACATTGCATAAGTAAATTTTTTTTAAACCTAAAGGAAAAAAAAAATTTCAAGTATATAATATTAAAGGAGTAGGTATATCAAGAAAGATAGAACAACATTTTTTAAAATTATAAAATTCATTTATTTATATATATATATAGAAATTTAAACTTATTACAATAGTTGTTCATAATTTTCATAAAATGATTTCAAATTAGTATTCACATCATCTACTTCATCGACACCATTTGAGAAGTTTCTCAGTTCACTCGTTACATTCAAAAACCAATTTCGAAGCTTAAATATATTATTTACTGCACAATTTTCAGTTTGTGTAATATGATGAGTACATATAGGTGGTGAAAATTCAGTTTTAATATTTTTAAACGCTGGACAGTCAATTTCTTCCAAATTGTATACATTCATTACATACTTTTCTAACCACTGTTTTTTTCACAACCTTTAACATAAATAGTTTTTGCTCCTCGTAATGCATCTTGTAAAATGGTTCGCACTTCATCGTAACATACATCTCCAACCATCTAAGGGATTGAATGATAGTTGTTTGTTAATCACAGGTTTTCACTTTTATAACGTCCAGGTAGAGAATTCTAAGCACAAGGTGGTTCAAAGAGATAAACTCTTGGTTGAGCATCTGCCTCTAGAGGAACTATAGCCAACTCTTTGAAAATAAACTCATTGCAGGGTTTTTTAAAACCTTGAACGTCTACTATGAACTCCATTTTTGAATAGAAATGTGTTTCTACTTCAGGGATGTGTCTTATATACCTCTCCACTTCACCCCCCACCACTTTGTTTCCCTCTCCACTCCTTATAACTTTTTAGTAATCCCACTGATTGGTTTATACTGAACTATACGATCATGTATAACGAAACAATATGCAGTTGTATTATCAGGTATATTTTCTCTGGCTTCAAATTCTAAACGTACATCGACTGCAGACTGCTTCAAAAACTCATTTTGTTTTGAACAATCAATAACAATTAAAGATGCATTTGATTTAAAAATATCAATCGCTAAAGTAGGTTCAGCATCTTTTCCATAATAAGAAGATTGAAAATTAGCATACGTTTCATATAATATAGAATACTGATTTTGATCAAAATTTATATTTAAATTTCCATAAGGGTAAGATTGTGAGTTCAAAAAGAGTTTTACATTTGTAATATTACAATGATCAAAGTAACAGGATGTTTCTTTGAGTTGATTCTTTCTTCCAGTTTGAAATCCAACAATTACATAACGTGGTTTCTCTAATTGAGATGAAGATTTAAGTTGCCACATAACTCTTGTACTAGCTGGAAGTAAAGGATACTCATACATTTCCCACGATCGAAAACTCATAGAAATTAATGGATCCTTTTCAATAAATTTTAATAATTTTATTTTATTGCTATCAGATGGTAAAATATATGGTACTAACCATTCAATTTTATTAATTGTAATTTTAAATTTTTCATTATTGTCAAGATTTCCTGTTTGAATAACAGCATTTAAATCACTTCGCGATCTTATCAAAATGAGTTCATGTTTAGCATTCGTAACAATATTCTTATAATCTTCAGCAAAACCGAAAAGCATACTTAGTGGTATTGTCACGTTAAAATAACCATTTTCTAAAGTCATTTTTAAATCCAAAGCAGAATATTCAAAAACATCTGCATTTCCAGCACGGATAAGTTGAGAAGGTGATAATGAAACCAAATTTTTCATGGTTGAAGTATGACCAACATATTTGCATCGATCAATCTCAATTCCATTTAATTCATAACGAATTTCATCAAATAAATAAGCTACAGCATTGTTGATTAGTCTAAGATTATGTGTTAAAGTTACTCCATCATTCTTCGTCTATCGTCTAAATATATTTAAGGAACTACTACTCGGTAAAATAGTTAAATCTTGATTTTGAACTACAATTCGAATTTCATCACTATTGTTAAAAGATGACGTTGCATATGGTTGATGACTATGAATCTCATAATTTGCTATGGATTCATCAAATGTCACTGGAACTGGAATGTTGAGAATTTCCTCCATCTTTCTTCTTATAACAACGACACAAAATAAATAGATAGAATTTTTCAACTCCCTTCTTCTTCTTTCTTTTCTATACTTTTGATGTCTGATTTTCAAACCAAGTTGCTTCAGAAATAGTTGATTCTGAGGTGTTAACACCTTGTGAGTTATATTCACACTGATCTTCTTTGCACATGTTGATTGATTTTTATAGCTACCACCAAATTTTCTTTTTTTATGATTGTGAATAATCCCTATTACACTGATTTTATATGTAAACGAATTGTTATTGTCTCTCCTCTAAAATTAGCTATAACACCATTCTGATCCACTAATCGAAGTTGAATATTATATATTGTCTTCACGGTGACTGGAAGGTAAATGACGTTTGCTGGAATCTCTATAATCTTATATCCTGGAGGAACACTTGGACAAAATTCATGCATAGTATGTACTTTTTGACCATTTATATAAGCTTCTGTTGTAATATTACATTCAACGCGTATAGTATTTACTTTCATTATTTGTATAAGATTTGTAGACGAATGATATGTATCTGCATGTAGTTTTATTGGAGGAAATCCTAATAATTTACCAATTAAGTCTTCAGGTTCGAAATCAATTTCCATATTTGATTTAAGACGTAAACCAAGTACATAATTTTTATTAGATATGAGTTTAATTAGTGGAAAGAATGAAGCTTCTAGAACTGAAGAGTTCCCACTTAACGTAAAAGTAAATGAATCATTCATGTTGGATATCTACTTTCATACTGAAGTATACAAATTATTACACAGTCTTATATAGACTGAAACTGTTCTTCACATTAAGTTGATTACATAGACATTTAAGACACAAGTGACCGCATATATACGTATCAAAATCTTGATGTCTTTTATGATTATACTTTATACAGCTACCAACACCTAGGTAAACAATGAGATCCAATGGTGTTGAAAGATTACCAAAGCTGTCAAAGTATTCGGTTTCATTGTTTACCTTTTTATACGCAACCCAATGAGTTCCAGGACCTTCTTTATTATCAAGATTTATTATTGCTGATTCATATTGAAATGGTCCTCCTATGGGTAATTCATTTCTCATAAAGACTCCTCTAAAATATGGTATTTTTAAACTTTTAGAATATTTTAGAAGATCATAATCAATTAGTGCACGGTGAGGTAGCTTCAATATTAGTTTTTTGACATTTTTTTCTTATTATTTGATCCTTTGCCTTTGTAAGGTTGCATATAAAGGCCAAGTCCACGTTGATATGGTTTCATGTATAAACCTTTTCCTAAAGCAATGGATTCCATGGTATGATTATGTCGTTGAGCTTCTGAAGTTTTTTCTTAGCAACATTAGCTTTATTTACAGCTTTCACTATACCGCTAATTCCACCACTAAGTGCCCCTAAAACACTCAGTCCAGCAAAAATTGGAATAAGAGGTAAAATACCACCAACTTTTGAGGTTATAGGAAGAATTCGAGGTGATAGAATCTTAGATTTACCGCCATACTGTTTTATAGCCTTTCTTGCACCAATCATAGCAGTTCTAATTGTATCTAAAGAGTTTCTATTAGATTTCATAGACTTTTTAGCAGCATTAACAATCTTCTTTAAAGTAACATGTTTTCTAGAAGCAACCTTCTTCCTCTGCTTCTTTGATTTCTTTGTCTTAATCTTTTTATATTTCTTATTAACTTTTATCCCCATCCCAAATTTAGACTTGGCTTTCATTATAATTGACAACTTATCAAATCAAGTGTACCAAGATGTTATACATGAGCAAAACGATAGGTTAAATGATAATTTAACAGTTCAAGAGTCTTATGAGCAGAATAATATACAACAACAACAAGATTTCGATAAATTAACAAATAAATTCATAAGATTGTTGAATCAAAATAGAAAACAATATTTGGATATGGTTTACAGAGTGCGGAAAGTTAAAGATTGAGGTTTCATGATAGGTAATACAGAAATTAATTTTGATGGTCCTCTCATAGACTTAGGTGGAAAGAAAAAATATACTAAAACAGATGGATTACTAGAACTTTTATTTAGAGAAAAACCTAATGAAGATTCTATAAGTTCAGATGATTTAGTCAACTATACAGAAATATTACAAGCTACTAATGCACATAGAAGGAATTATAGTCCAAATAAACTTATTCGTACAACTTGATTTTGAAGAATGTCAAATGCATGGTTCAAAAATTTCTAAGCAAGTTTCAACTTGTCTTTTTCCAAGATGACAATAGTATTGTTTGAAAATCTTAAAGCATGTTTTAACCTGAATCTTGAATAGAATATAGATATTGTCTAAAAAACCTTTAGACAGGTTTTAACCTGACTGTAGATGAGAATAAAGACATTTTTTAGAAACCTTCAAACCGGTTTTAACTTGATTTAAAGATAGAAAAAAGTTAGAAATGGTTTAAGAATTTATTTTTACTTGTGTGAGTTATAAAATTGGTGTTACTGTTTTAAATTTAATTTACTATTAAGTTAATATAATATTGAATAATATGTAAGTCAATTGTATAAGGTTTTATTAAATAAAGTAGACATAAAATTGGCAACAAATTTTGTTGGTTTATTAATAATCTTCATATTTCACCCATCCAATCTTTTACAATATATATATAATACTATAATATAAATAAATATAACATCTAATATATAAATACGTAGAATATATGAAACAATAAATATTTAAACATCTAACATCACAATATCATTATTATCACAATCATTTTCACCGTTTTTTATTTTATAATGTCCCCAAGCAAGAGTATCTGTACTGTTTTCTAATAAATATCTTTTATCATCATAAGGATATAGATTGGTTTATTCATAAGCACTTCAGTTTTGTTCAGCTCCACAGCAACCAAGTTTTCATTGAAAATAGCTCGTGTGTGGAAGTTTGGTTTTGAAATAAGAGCCTCTGCTCCATACCTACCCTCCCATTTTGTTACAAGTTTTACATCAACACGTTTTCGTACATTCTCCATTGTCTTGTCATAAAATGCATTCTTCATAAGTTTAAAAAGATTTTTTTCAAACTCATTTTTTGCATCTGTTCGCATCTTGGTATTAAAATCGATATACTTCTTCAACTATGGAGATTGTTTAAATTTTAAAACTCGATGAATTTGAGTAAGTTTAAGACCACTCTCTATTGCTTGTTGAAGTGCACGATAATGGAGAATATACTTTTGTTTTGGTAGGAGGGTAGTGAGCAATTTCTCTTGTTTTGATCCAGGTGGCTTTGAGTGTTCTGGACAAAATTGTAAGTCACTATGACTTTCATGCAAATCATGCGGATATTATAAATCAACTTCTAATATATAACCAAAATCTGAATCATTACCGATATTAAAGTTAAAAGACTTATCTACATCTTTTACCCACTCAAAACCACCATAGGGAAGTGCTTGAATCATAGCCCAACCATAAAGGTTATTAGCATCCAAATATGCGATGTAAGATGAATCTTCATTTTCGTTATAATTTTTCATATAATGATTATTGGCATGAGCATATCTGTTTGAACATTGGCTAACCCCCCTCTAATACCACTTTCAACAAACATAACCATATCAATATCCGTAAGAAGTTCCAACTCAACCTATGTATATTTTAACATGGCATCCCAACTAAGTCCAGGTGTTGTATAATAATAAGCTGGATCTAAATCATATGCTTTAAGACATTAGTCTCTGAAATTCTCAAAAACATCTGCGAGTAGTAAAATATCAGTTTTCATATACAAATATACATACTCATAAAGATATTGACAATTAAAAGTAGACCAAACCCTTTGTGCATGATGATAATCTTCATCGCTTATATGAGAATCATTTAGGGTACTGTAAAATTTCTCTTTTGGCAGTAGTTGTGTCTCATTTAATTTCAATCTACTGTCTAAATACTCATATGGAAAAATTCCTTTGCGTGTTAATAACTGAATCTTATTAACATCATAAGACTCAAATTCGGAATGTACTATTGTATATTTTGACAGATATGAAGCCAATTTATCCAAAGATGATGCCATGAAACGAAATGAGTCAATGAATTTAAATTTTATACTATTTTCTGGGAGGTGTTTTGTGAAGCTAATATATTTTTCTTTAGTAATAGGAAGGAGATCAATTTTACCTTCAAACTCATTCGCAATAGCTTTTATAATGAAGTGAGTATCATAACCACTCAAATTATGTAAAACAACAGGAATAGTATGTAATTCCTGATAATTTAGATTCCAATACTGATGAGCTACACCTCTGTATTTACCAGTTAGGTGACAATGATCCATAACCTTAATCTCACCCTGATTAATCACTTTCTTACAAATGTGGCACTTATTAATTTTTTGAAAAAGATCGCAAATATATACTTCTTATGTTTCTTTTGAGATAACTGAGAGCTTACAAGTCGTGATAAATTTTTAATCCAAACATAATGATATTTAGTTTTTGCTTTCTCTACCTCATGATTATTGTAATTGTCTTGAATTAATAAAAGGTTAACATGCTTTTCTTTTTTGATTGAAGTTATATGTAGTGGAACTACATTAAATTCATCATCATTCTTTGAACGTTTGTTTCCTTTAGGAATTTCAAGACCATATACATTAATAGAAATAGGGTTCTATTTTTCAAATTTTGGAATTTCGAAAACATGAACGGGGAAGTTAATTCCCTTAAAATTTAAAACATTTTTATATTTTATATAACTTTTAACATACTTGGGTTTTGCAGTATGAGGTGGATAGAGCGCGGAAAGTATCGACCACTTTAAGCATTCATTATCATTGTTATGAACATTAATGCAAGCTTTTTTTGCTTTAATTGATTGAGGTAAATCTATAAAAGAACCAGCCTTCATGGGATTGAATCTACTGAAATTTACGTCTAATCTCTGAATTGAATCAAGTCGCCAACTTGAATCTTTTTCTTCAAAATCTTCACAGAGGCGTAGCGTTATTTGTTTAATATTTTCATTATAGAAG